CCTTCAGTGTAATTTCAAATGTATGTACTGACAGAGAGGCCTTCTGAGGGTTGCTGTAGGTGCATATGTATCAACAAAAAAATTAATCTGAAATAACTACAGTAAATGTTTATAAATATTTCTTTTGGTCTTAAAATGTATGGACTTAGGAAGTCATTTCAACCTCTTTTTCAGAATACTGATGACTTTTCTGTTACAATGTCAACTTCAGAGCAAGGCCAGTTGTGTTAATTATGTACATGCATATGTAGATATGACTATTCTTTTCACAAAAAATTTAAAAGGCTAAAATTTTAAAAGTCTAGACCTTCATATACTTAAGCATGTGGCTTGCATCAGTAATGGGGGTAGTTTCACAGGGTTCAAAAAGGCAATCAGAGCAAGATTTAGTATGACGCTAAGATGTCTACATGTAAGATTCTATAGATAAACTAGGTACCCAAGGGGCTGTTATTGTCTATGGAGGGTGGGATTTAATCTTACCTTACTTGAGATGTCCTGCAATAACCTGTAAGGCTGCCACTACAGAAGTATATAGTCTAAAAAGTTTACTCTGACAGCTTTGGCTGATATCACTTATCTTTGGCATCTACAAAGAGCTTGGATCATCTTAAGTGCTACTATCTGATTACTTTTAGGCAGCTGAATTCCACTCATGCCCACATACATTCAAAATAATAACAAACAAGAATAAACAAAACTAAAATATGATTTTTAAGGATTTTCATTACTGTCTAAAATTAATGTTTCACAGTCTTTCAATATTTTTACCCTCCTTGTGAGAGGAGGATTTTACCCTCACTTAACTGCTGTGGGAACAAAAACACCATAAGCAAAATAATTCCTCAATGAAAGGTTTCTAATAAAACAGAAAATCTGACCTTAACACTCTACTTTCTGTCAGTGAAGAATTATCACAAACCATAACGTAGCATAATGGTAAATTTATCATGAAGTTACTCAAAAAATGAATAGTTTTGTGAAAAATAAATCAAAAAATATTAACATAGTTAAAGAACATATCCACGACTGTTACATGGGAAATGTGTGACAGAGAAGAAGTTCTTCAGAATCCCAAATCTTTCACACACTTCTATATTCTCAGTTCTTCTATCTATTTGCTTCTTTTGAGTATTTTGTATTTAAAAAATTCATATAGTCTGTATAATATATATATATATTTTTTTTTAAAGAGAATGTTAAGAGCATGTTCATATAAAGTTAAAGCACACATATACTGATCAAGCCTTGTATTAATAGTAGCCCTCCAGAAATCAGTTGTCTTTTGCCTTTATGTCACTATACTTCAAATGTAGTTTAGCAGGAGTGTGAGAAAAAAGGATAAAATATGAATGTACAGAACGTTTCATTTCTCCTCTTTATCTGAGTTTATTTGCCAGTACAGAGGTTATTTTATAACACACTTATTTGGCAAAGTTGTTTTTGTAATTCTGGATGATTTCTCTAACATCAGAGCTCTAAGATACTCTGTACTGTATCATGATGGTGGATATATATATTTTTTTCAAGTCTCCGAAGTCTAAAACAAGAACTTAAATCATGACTGAAATCATGACTTCACTAAGTTATTTTGAAAAAAAAAAAGAAAAAAGTCAGCTGGAGCTGTGTAAGAATATAATGGAATCTCTTTATAAATTGCAGAAAAAAAAAAAGACAAAATACATTGAAAAATGTAAATGTTCTTATAAGACATTAAAAATAAATTTCTCTTACATTTTTTATATTATTAAACATCAGATGCATGAATGTTTTGTCTTTACTTTCACAGTCTGTTTTTATTCATGCTCTCCACTTGTCTTGATGTCTTAAACATACAGTCTGGAGAAATGTAGTATGAAGATACTGATCTTGGATCTTCAGTTAACATAATTCAGCTTCACAGGCAGGTGTCCTGATAAATTCCTATAGAAAAACTGCAAACTTTGAGTATTTACCACAGTGTCTGGGTGCTGTATAGTTTCTTACATAGCTGAGATCAGGCCAGTGCCAACAGTTGCTGAGTAAAAGAGCTGGAGGTAGTTGTGTTCATAATGCCAGAGACAGAATGACTTTGGGAGAGGGGAGCAAATGGCTTGCTCTAAACTGGAGCCAAAACACAGAACAGTTTGTAGGCAATATTTACAATCTGAGACTGGTGTCCCAAGAGAGTTCATCCAATGGTACAGCCATGTCCTGCAAGTCCAAATTTACATTTAGATGAATGGAAAGTTTGATATGTGAGTATTTTCACTTATTTCTTTTTGGCAACAACATCTGCAGACCTCATTCTTCCCTTAGTGTACTATGCAATACTATTCACCTGCCATGGTCTACTATACAATTGACCAAATATTTGTGATATTTCCTTATGTTTCTAACAGTCACTTGTTGGTCCTTGGCATATAACCGCAATAAGGGTAGACAAGAACAGACTTGGTAGAACAGAATAAGAATGCCTTCTCTTAAGATACATAGTTCATAACTTCAAGAAATTGCTATAAACCATTGCACCTTGAAAAAAAAGAATAGTGGTTTCTATTTATAGCAGCCTTTGCAAACAACCCCTTGAATGTCTGTGCAGCTTGTGCAGTCATATGGAAGGGACTGGATGGAACTTATTGTTTTTAGTAGAGTTGGAGGAGACCTGCAAAGCTGGCAAACTAGGTGGGCTTTCCTGAAGGCTCGCTGATCTTAAGGCATCTATGGATATCTCATAGCTTACACAGCTGTAACATTCTTTCACACACTTTGGCTGGACTATTGCATATGTTGCCACAAAATGTTAAGACATCACGACTCAAATGTTCTTTTGTTCCCCTTTCCTCTCTTTGTATGTTTTACTCAGTAGCTTTGTTTATTTTCTTAAAATATTTCCTTTTTGTTTGCATTTCTTGGCAAAGGCCTCCCTCTGTTTTTCTAACTGTAATCTTCTTTTGGTCCCTTTTCCAGCGCTATTACCCAAGATTAGCTACAAGTGTGCTTCACGAGCTTCAGTTCTTTAGAAGCACTTGGGATGTTAACAGGAAACCAAAAATAGCTTTTCATTTGCCTCTCAACCTAATTCATTCATCCCAGGTACAATACTGAAGTACAAAAATATTTTATACTACTGTTTTCCTCCCTTTCATTTATTTACTGTAAATAAACAAACAAACAAAAAAAAAAAAACCAACAAAACTGTTCGTTTGAAAGAAATAATCTCATACTGAAGAAATTCTACGAAAAGCTGGTCATTGCCTTCAGTGGCAATGAGGATTCTATTTGTGTGGATTTTTTATATGGTAGGAAATGGTTACTGCAGAACTGAATAAATTCCCTCAAATGCCATTTCTGAATGAGAACTGCCTTAATAGCTACTGTTGTGTCAGTTCATATTTAGTGTTGTGAGTCCGTATTTCTAGAACAGGTGAACTAGATGCTGTTCTTGCTCCAGTAAGGAGTGTTGTGAGACAACCATCAGCTCCTAGGTTCTCCTAAAAATGTTACAACATGTCTTTTGTGGGGAAATATCAAATGTTAATTTTAAATCAGGTCAAATGAATACTCAAATTTACTTTTTGATCAACTTTTCCATATAGTCAATGTCACTTGTGATGAGTGAACAGAAGAAATCTCTTTTTATAGAAATCAGAATTCCCAAATGGCTAATCTACAGACATTTTGCAAAAAGCTACATTTCCAACCTTGTGCAATTTTTTAAACTGTATTTTACTAACAGTCTTAAAGTTGTTGGCTTGTCAGAAGCTTCCTTCAAAGAGCTAAATACCAACACCTCCTGAACTAACAATAAGACATGTTTTACTAGAAGTGATGAAACATCTTCTATAAACACTCCCTACCTTACTGACCATCCTTTCCCAGTATTGATTCACCACTGAAATATTTGTGTCACTTGAGTTCAAGTACATGAAACCAAACCTTTCAGTGCTTGGAGTTGTATGAGTGCCACTAAAAGCAGCATGCACTTCAGCAGTTAGTGAATTAAATAAGCAAAAGCATGCTAATGGTCTCTGTGAGACCAGTACTGCTGACCTTAGAAAGAGAATGATAATAAAATGAAGAATAAAAACAAGAGATGGAACCATGGATCTTTTATGGGTCATATCAATAGAGCATGCAGGGATTCAAACCTACATGTTATCATTGTCAGACCATCAAAAGAAATTTATTTTCTGCTTCTTTAGAATTTTGCTATCAGAAAGTAGTCAGATAGCAAAAATTCAGGATCCTATCCCTATTATATTTCTGCTCAATTCAACAGCTGATAGCAATTACAAAAGAAAAAAATAAAAATATCCTAAAACCAAGAAATATGCCAGTTAGGGGAAGTGTTTATTTAAATTCATAAGTCACAATAAGGTCAATAAAACACGTAATGCAAAGAAATGTAAAGAAATTTTATGGAAATCATTTTCATTGACAAGGTATTTCACAGTTGACTAGAACTTGGCTTTTCATCTACCTAGAATTATTTAACTTAATGTTTGGTTATAAGGATTACAATAATTGGTTAAAGACAAACAAACAAACAAAAACAAACAAAAACAAACAAACAAAAAGCAAGTATTATCTTTAGATAACAGATATTTGAAACTGAAGAATGATAGATTCAAATTACAATCCACAAGTATTTAATTATGATTACCCTTCAAAATATATCTTATTATATTTTTAGCTAGAGACACGTAATCACAAAATATATGAAAGAGAATAACTAATATGAGATATAAATTATACATATATTTTTAGCATAATATGCCTACATATGAACAGCAGTTTAAATCCACAAAATGCAGTGGGGCCAACTATGCCCTTTTAGAAGTCTTTCATGGCTTGAATAACGTTTTCTTTTTCTCTCTCTCTTTTTTTTTTTTTTTTTCTGTGAATTGCAGGGTTTTTCTGTGAATTGCAGGGTTTTATGTAAAACTATTACCCATTTATTCAAGCTTTATAAATAAAAGAAAGATTTGGATCAAAGCTGGGAAGGAAAAACAGATTACCTCTTTCAAAATATGAAAGTATCCTGGGATGTTTTGTCTTGATATGGGCAGATGTTGGCAGTCTAGCAGTTTGACCCTGGCACTATTTCACTGAATATCTGCAATCACATGTGAGAAAGAGTGAGAACATGATGTTGCTGAAAACTTCATGCAGTATTTTTAATATCATTAAAATTAGGGCAGTAGGGCAAACAGATGCAACAACGAATAGTAGAATTGTCTTGTTACAGAATACAAGAAAACAAGAAAATGGAGTGAAGTAACTTTCTCCCTCTCCAGAAAACAGGAAAATTATGTGTCCCAATTCTATAAACATTTATCCAGAAAGATAATTTTGCTTTCAAGAAAAAAGTCTTGTGAAGGCTTATAGGTTATAATCTCTTTGGATGATGGTCCATGCTTTACCCAAGTGGATTTATGATAACAGTGAGGATTACATGGAAAATATTACATGGGAATATTCTTAATACCTTTGCACACAAAACTATATGTATCTTATTATCACCCAAAACTGTTAGTAGTTGTTGTTGCTTTTTTTTTTTTATAATTTATTTCTTACTTAACAATAAAAAAAAATATTTTGATTATCTAAGGTATGAGGGCAAGTAGGAAAGATAAGATCAGGAGAAAGCTTATAATATTTTGGCTCATAAACTATTTAGTCATATTTTGGCTAAGGGGAAATAAAACCTTGTTTCTTTGAAATACTGCTGGCATATACAAGCTGACATAAACTCATTAAAAAAGAAGAAAAGGAAAATAAAAACATAACTCTTCCAAAGCTACCATTAATCAAAAGCAGAAAATTTCTACTTTTACTGACAGACAGTAGCCATTTTTTTTTCACTTTGTTGTTGTTGTTTTAATCTGTGTGTATTTTTGCCATGCCCAAATTTTAAAGAAGGTAATAAAGATAGACTTCAAACAAAAACAAGTCAAATATGACTGTCACTAATTGTTACTCCAGTCTGGCTTTCCCAACACTCCTGTCTATTGATGTCTTCTCTGTCATCTTCTTTTACATAAATACTTCTTTCCAGCTCTTTCTCTCTCTTATTCTTCATTTTTAATTTTCTATTATCCAATCTATTTTCTTATTGAGAGTTGCACACCCTCAAAATATTAAGGACCAAAAGAACATTTTGTTCCTGTTGTTGTTGATCATGAAGAATTGAAAGAAGAAATGTTAAAGTTCTGTAAGTATCTTTTTCTTATTGACGCCAGCACTGACATGAAACATTTTAAATAAGACAGACGTGAAATAGTACATCGCTCAGAGCCTACTGGAAATAGGTCATAACTTGTGTCTTCTCATATATATTCTTGCAGGTTTCCTAACAATGACTGCTTTCATTACTTACATATTGCAGCATCATTCTGCCACAAAGGGGACTGTCTCAGGGCTGTTTGCTGCTAAAATCAAGAATGGTAGAATTTAGAGAGAAAAATCCCACACAATCACAAGTAATTTGTGTCTTCCACAGCCTGGAGAGTGGACAGGTTGAATGACACTTTTACCAGTGACATGTTCATCCACTTAACGCTTTTTTATGACCCAGTCTTATCTTTAGACAAAACACCACAAATATAAAGCTTACATTTTATATGCACCTCCTCCATATAGCTTCCATCTTTTCAGCAGACATTAACCATATCTACTTTTTTATTTTATTTTATTTTATTTTATTTTATTTTATTTTATTTTATTTTATTTTATTTTATTTTATTTTATTTTATTTTATTTTATTTTATTTTATTTTATTTTTTGCACCTGCAATTATTTGTCTAAAGAAATCCATGTAATGAAAGCACTGGTGTGGGTCAGAGACATGCCAGACAGATGTGCACACAAAAGACACTAAAAAGTCTCACTTGTGTTTACCTTGGTTGCATACTAGCAACAATTAAACAATGCTAAACAATGCTTTGGCTACTTGTGTTTTTAGAAGCAATGTGAAAACACTAGGAAATGAGGGAAATTAAGGGCTCTGTGTATGGGAAATAAATCCAAGTGCATGCTTCTAATTGCTCTCCCTTTAAAAATCACGATTCAACAATAGCTTCTACATAGCAAAGACACAATAACACATTTTGTTTAATAGATTAACAGTAAGAATTGCTGCTAGAGAAGCTGACTTTTCCTTTAACTACTGTTCTTTAAAAGTGATTTTGTTCAACAATGTACAAGGTCGACAAGTCAACGCAAGACCACCCTGCTTGGGGATTTGCTCTCAACACAGAGTTGTGTCGAATCCCTCAGCTGAGAAATGTCAACCAGCACCTTTCATATTTATGGTGACTCATAAACAGGAAACTCAGCCCTGTCCACGACACTGGAGCTTTTTCATATCTTAGATCCTTTTAAGAAGGAAAAAGAAAAGGGTAAAAAAAAAAAAAAAAAAGGAAAGGAAAGAAAGGAAAAAAAAAGCTCTTAAAACATAACAAAGAACTTAGCAGGACATTTAAAGCAGCTGCCTTGTATTTTATGTGCCAAAATAAATATTGCCAAATTAGTAAGGCATACTGAACAAATTAAGCGCTAAATGCAAATTTATCGACTGAAATACAATGGTAAAGTAGCCAAGGAGCTTGCAATGGTATCGTTCATCTTTGTAAGTAGGTGTTTTGGTTGGCCAATTGCTGGAGAGTGACATGGGAACAGCAATATAAAAAGAGAGCATTTCTGTTACACCCAAGATGAAGAGTTTGTTTTAGAAAGTTCAAGTAAACATTTTCTAACATACATTCACTAGTTTCAGAGTGTCTTTTGCTACCAAGAGAGAGATAAAAATTGGTTTAAAACATCTCTTATGAAAATACAACATTTCAGAAATGGTACTGTCAGTATGATAAATTATCCAACAGAATTTTGGTAGAGTTTCTTATTTCAGAATAATGAGAAAGTCTTGGTTTCATTCCCCCATATTCTTGTAAGGACACACATGGACTTTTTTTCTCTGATGTTATTTAACCTTAGATAAATAGAAAAAGTGTCACAAGAACTTCTACATACACATTATATAAGAATATATGCACATATACTTACACGTAATGTCCAGAGGGAAATAACCAGTCTAGTAGTCTAAATCTAGTGCCTGGGCACTTCACACATGGTGTACATGAGACCACATGAGCCATTTTTGTCAGTGTACTGTTCATTTTTTCATAAATAAATTTCAATGTTACTAAAATAAGTTAATAAAAATAATAATAAACACAAAACATTCCCTCTGGGAAATGTGAAGCTCAGAATTTTGCTTCAGGTCAGTCCAACCCAGACTTGCTTGGGTTTTGGCATTATAAGTTTGTTGGCTTGATACTAAACATTCAGGTTTTAAATGAAAGGTTTAAGGTCTCCTTTTGATAAAACTGATAATACATTGCAGGACACTTACTGTGGCCAAGAAACTGATTCATGTGGAAAAACAGTAATGCTGCCTTTTTTTTTTATTTATTATTATTTTATTATTATTATTATTATTTTTTTCAGTAAGGAAGTTTCCATAGGAGAATAAGGTTCTTGGAGTGATACTGTTAATGTTGAATGGACTTGGATATCAAGCATACCAGCATACCTCTTTGTTCAGTAAACAAAACAGAAGCATCGAGATTCAGGGATATCAATGTATTGAAAGAAAATTGAAACAATATTTATCAATTAGTGAGTCAGAAATAGTTGGAGCTTTTCCCATGCAGAACACTTTCAGTATTTTAACTTTTTGTCCTAAACTCAGGCTGAAACAAACAGTGAAATATCAGAATGTTTCTTGGAAACAGACTCATCTTTTACTGTTGCAATTTTCCTTCTTGGCCTAATATAGCTACAAGTTCCCAGCAGTAATCCCACCTTTACATTTTGAGCAAAGTACAAGACTATTTTCTTCATAAAACTAAGATCAAACTAGCAAAATCTCTCCCCTCTAAAGCAAAAATAAAATGTTCAAATGCATTTAAAATTTCATTTATTTTCATCTAACTGGAGATGCCGACTGTTTGAAAATAAGCAGCACCAGCTTCTGACAAAGATTTCAGCTTCAGCTTTATTCTCTTATGCTCAAGCATCTGCTTGGTTTGAGCAGTTACAAAGTTGCATCTGAAACTTGTCTCCCAGCATACTCTGGGGAGTGACCACTGCTTTGATTATCAGCAAGAACATTTGGCAAAATATTTGTGACACAATTAAGAAAAAACAAAGTTGTGAAGTTTACTGTTTAAGTCAGCCCAGTTCAAAACAAACAAGCTTATTCCAGCAAAATGTTATTGGTTTCCTTGGCTATAGAGCCCTTCTGGAAAAGAATCCCCTCCCCCACAAAAAAAAAAAAAAAAAAAAAAAAAAAAAAAAAAAAAAAAAATCCCAGTGCAATTTTATATTCTGACGCACTTTGGAGTTTAGTTTTTCCTCAAAGAACACTGCAAACATGTTTTTTCACATTAATTTAAAATCAGACTGGATATTTTACAGAAAGCTGGCTTTCTGTGCTCTGAAGAGGCCTACATGTTTCTTGATTTGTCATGAAGTTTTGGTCAGGGTGAAAGAGGGAATATTTCCATATGCTGAATATTTGTATGGGTTTTAGTGAGGCAGGGACACAGAGAAAAGAGAAAATAAAAACTGATTCAAGAGAAAATAAAAACTGATCCGATCTCTCTGACTGGACTGAGGTGGTAAATTTATATCACCACCCCTTTACCTACCATGGTGGAATTTAGAGAATTTTTAACCTGCACCATACCGCTCCTCTTTGGGGACATGACTATCTCCCCATCCCAGGAGGCCAGTCTTGCAAGACAAAATACCAAATTATTTTTCTTTTTCAGATTTATACATGTTTATCTTTTTTAGTATTCATCTGAAGTAAAATGGATCCAGCTTTCTTTCAAATAATGCAAAACATATGGGAACAGAGTTGTGTAAGTCACAAGTTGACAAGAACCAAAGCCCTTCAATGATTGTCTCAGACCCACATGATATTCTCAAATCTGACACAAGCAAATACTTGTAGCCAGCCAGCCAGCTTTGTATCAGCTTCACAACACAGCAGGGAAAGTTATTCCACTTACTTGGTATTCGTGCTGATTTCTGTTACACCATTTTGGAGGGCAGAAATTGGTGAATTGCATCTTGTGCCAAAATACTCTCAGTATGATTCAAGCCACTCTTGCTCCTGTATAGCTAATATCTGTACAAGACCTACATCAAACTAACTTGTACATATGAAGAAGCCCTCCAAACTTACTAGTGTCAGTGTTCTTTATGCTGAATCGATTGACACTATATTGTAAATTGCCATTGATTCAATAAGAATGGAGGAAAGATGAGTCCATTTCTGATTTTTTTCTTAATATGAAAATTATAACTTAGAAAGAATTAATAATATAAGTTTCTTCATACTGACAGACATCATTAACAGTCACAGCTGCCTTCTACCTTTACAGCAAAATACCTTTTGTGAGAGTTTACCAGTATGGATCACCCTCCATATTCACCACTGAATTTGGCTACTAGGGATGCTGAAGATGTTTATTTCATCATGCATGTATTACCCCCTACCCATAACATTCACCGGAGTTTCAAGGTTCAGTGTGCCTTATGCGAATTAGTCTCCACCATGACATCTTTCTAAGGTGTTGGGTACTTCCATGCTGGACACAGATGTGAGCTATTACCTGCTGTTCTGTACCGGGCATGCTATAGATGACTTACAGTCAGTCTTTGAGTGTTATGCAGCGAGGTGGAGCCCAAGCCATTTAAGAGCTACATTTAGGGGGTACAGGAGCTCTCATGGTGTTTAGATACCTGAAAAACTGAGAAGGTTTTTCCTGACATTGATCACCAGCACCTGACCTAGAGAACCTGCCTCTTCCATGTTTCATAAAGAGGCTCAGATAGGATGAATGCACCCTGCCACCCAAAGGTTGGAAGGGCACTCAGTCCAGAGCATCCGTGCTTGTTTTCTGTAAGCAGTTTAGCAGCAGCATGCTGCAGCCCAGCCTAAAATAGTAGCTGTAGCATAGATAGACATGCCCAGTGTGTTGTATGGAGGGGAGCTCACAAGCAGGAAGCACCAGTGGGTGTGACAAGAACTGGAGCTGGAAGCAGTTAAGCATGTCACATTATATAAGTAGCTCAAACTACGCAATAGCATAAGTTCTGCACGTGCCACAGACAAAGCAGGGCCAATTTTGTTTTATCAATTTCATACTGCTATATTGTCCTCTTCACTTTTCAACATTGATCTAGTGGAACCAGTGCATTTAGAGACACACTTTAATATTCTTTTTCTCTCTCTCTCAAACTAAAAATATTTCAAAGGACCTCTTCCCATCAGTAATACCATATGGTTCTATTTTACTTAATTGTTGCTCTACATAGGAAGACTGGAGATAAAAGTTATTTTCTGCAAAGTCACAGC